ATTTCCGGCCGTGAAGTGTGGCCGTTGCCAGCCTGCATTTGTGTGTGTGTGTGTGTGTGTGTGTAGCGCTCTGTTTGTGTACGAGTATTAGTCAATGCATTACCGGATTTTATTAGCATATTTAGCTGGAGCTGGGACCAGGGACCAGGGACCCTAATCTGTGGTTGGCTGAATGGCTGAATGGGGGTGAATGCAATGTAATGAAATGAAAAATGAAGCCAACTGTTGACACACAGTGACAGAGAGACAGAGAGAGAGAGGGAGCAAGAGAGAGTAGAAAGAGTTGCATATATTTTATTTTGTGTGTGGTGTGGGGGTGTGGGTGGTGGGGGTGGTCTGGCGTATTTTATCAGCATATTAACGATTATTTTCGACATTGTGCATATGAATACTCGTACTCGTAGTCGTACTCGTACATGAATAAACAAAAATACGCCATCAACAAATAAATGCATGTATAAATAAATAAAGTCAACATTCTGCTCGAGGATACAGCCATCCATACACATCTATGCGTCTATGTGTGTGTGTGTGCACTGGTATCTGTGTGTGTGTGTGTGTGTGTGTGTTCTGTGTGTGTAAGCACCGCCTGGCAATAATCACAATAACAATGTAAAATCGCTTAGAATGCCACCGCAAAATTGTAACCACTGCAGGAGCAACAGAGATGGCAGCCACGAACCAGTCACGCACACGAGAACAAGAGAAAGGCGGAACATCACCACAAGCCATACAGAAAGAGAGACAGAGAAAGAGAGAGACAGATAGAGAGAGAAGCAATGCAACCGATGTGAGCCACCAAAACAACATCAAAAAGTAAGAAAAAACAGTAGGAAAATGCCAGAGACGAACGAGAGAGAAAAACGAAAGAAAAAAAAAAAGTTATTCGAAATGTCTCCGGGCACGTACAATCCATTCATTCAGCAAATACCAATAATAGACACGTACGGCAGCCAGCCAGTGAAAGAGAAGGACATATAGAGAAGCAGAGAGAGAGAGATATGGAGAGTGAGTGGCGGTGGAGTGGTGGGGGGGGGGGAGATACATTGAATGGCAGAGCGAGGCAAAATGAAGGCATTTGAAAATGGCACAAACACACAAAAGTCAATGAATAAGCAGCAGGCAGTGCAAGTAAAGCAAATTTGCCAAAGACAATGGGACTTTCCACTGGCGAATGGATGGGGTGATGGGTGTACAGCCCCCTCCCACCCAGCGCCATGCAAGGGACGCGTCACACATGGCATAGGAAAACAATATGGCAAAACAATTTAGATAAGTTCAAACAACTGCCAGACCACCCACGAGACTCCCAGGACTCCCAAGGAGGGGGGACTCCCCGCACAGTAAACGCCTTGGAATGAAAATGTTTTTTTTGCTAAGGAATGCTACACCCCCCCCCCAAGGGGTATATGATTGGGGGGTGCACACGAGTATGAAGCATAGTTTCAGGGAAAGTGCTCTGCTGCCCCACCCCCCCCCTCCGTTCATAGTGAAGCTTCTTCGTACATAGACTTTCATCTTTTTGCCCCGTGTGCCGCGATCGTTAATCACCGCCCCAGGGATGGGAATGGAATGGAAAGGAAAGGCAGCGACAGGAAGCTGCCTCGAGGGGGGGGGGCGGGGCTGGAGGCGGAGGCGGAGGCGAAGGCGGAAGGCCACAAGTGTCAGGGGGAAGTGCGTGCCCTTCCTGGGATCTGTTGCCATCTCCTTCATGTCATCATCGCCTTATCCCGCGTCTCCCTGTTTATTTGTCATGATATTGCACTTTCAACTCGACGCGTCTCGAGCTGCTGTGGAATTTCATTTTGCGCAGCGACAACCAAATATTTATGAAGCGAAGGGCCGAGGGTGAAACCGGAAACGGAAACCGGAAAGGGCGAGGAAGAGAGGGAGGCAAGCGCCAAAGCGTTTCCAGCAAGTTGAACGTTTCTTTCGAAATGTTTCGCTAATAAAAATGAAACATTGAGACACAAGCTGGAATGCACTGGTTCTCTTATAATTGCAGAAATTGAAACTAACTTCAAGCATTCAAAGTCATTCGATGGGAAGAGCAGCCCCTGTCGTCGGCCTGTCTTTCGCTGTCATTCGTTTGGATGTCAGAATATCAGAGCTGAGATTTTGTTTGCTACGCACAACACACAAAATGATTGGGCTTGTGATCTTGCTGCTGATCTACAGCTGGGTGATTGTCTGCATTTACTGCGGCCTCTGTCTGGTGTGCGACGCGTGGAAGGCGGAGGAGCGCAAGCGCCGTCGGCTGGAGCTGATCTGGGAAGCTGTCGCTTTGGAGCAGCAGCTGGCGAAAGCTCTCAGAGTGATTTGCCAGGCACCGACGGACGGGCCACACAGCCCCGAGCAGCAGGAGGCTATAGAAGGAGCGAGTTGCGTTTAGTGATCAATGAGGTTCGCATGGCAGTAGTCGCTCAAATGATCGATGCTGCGCCATTAGCCATCCCAAATGAATTAAGTTTAAATAAATTGTTCTGTGCACTCTGCACATTGTTGATTCCATTGTGGCTTTCTTTTTTGATGGATCCCATGGCTATTCTCCGGCTAATACTGCACCATTGCCATTCGCATTAAGCCCTTAAAGTGCCCGCTGGAAGGGCATGGCGTGGCTATCTATGCCACGACGTTAACTGCATTTGTTTCAGCGTAATGGGCAGCAACAGCTTGTCAGGTTTTTGTGTTTCTTGATGTCCTTTTGTTGTCAGCTTAAGCTGATGGAGCGCCCTGCCCTGCCCTGCCCTCTGCCCTGCCCTCTGCCCTGCTCCCGTAACCTCTGGGCTGCCTGGCCTGGTGCACCGCATCCTTCCTACTGGTTCCGCTTCCTTTCCTGCTGCTGCTTCCTGCTGATGCCACCGCCTCACTAAACCCATTAAAACGTCATAATCAACATAATCATAAAGATAATGCATAACAGAACACGGGCTGCTGGCTGCTGGCTGGGTGGGTGAGCCGTAGAAGAGGAAATTTGTACGCTGGTCAGCCATTTTTATTTCCCTTTCCCCTGCCCTGTCCTGCCCTGCACTGCCCTGTCCTTCCTCCTTATGTCTGGAATACTCGCGCTCATTATTATTGCGTCCAGCTTGGCCACAAAAGGCGACTAAAGCCTGACCTTTGCTTAATTATGGTAATTAGCACACAAAACCCAACCCAAGACCCGCCAAAAGGAGCAGACCAAACGGAACGAAACGAAACGGAACGGCATGGAATGGAACGGAAGTGGTTGCCATGGGAGCAACATGCACAATTTTCTGCTGGCGAAGCTGCAACCACAGACAGAGCCACACAGGATCCCTCCAGTGGATGACTGGACGTTGACAACGACAAGAACGAACCAAAGCTGGAGCTGGAGCTGCGGCTGGGGCTCTGATATAAATATTAAAATATAGCTGGCACGAGAAAAAAAAAAGAGTGCCAAGGGTTTAGGAGAAAGTAGAGAGGCGGGCGAGTGGCAAAAGAGAAATGAGCAGCGGCCAAAAGCTGAGAGCCGAAAGCCGAAAGTGAATTGCTTCCGCGTTTTCATTCGCTTTAAACGTTAGTCAAGTGGCAACCCACAGCATACAATCCACCGGGACAGCGACAACGAATGCAATAATTTTATGCAATATTTGTTTCACTTTGTTCCTGGCCCTGTTCCATTTTTTTCTCTCCTTCTCTTGCTGTCTTCTCTTCAGTCCTCTTTGCTGCGTTTAATTTGTGCATTTTCATTTAATTTGCCGTGAATTTGCGGGCTATTCATTTTGTGTTTTGTGTGTTTTTGCTGGGGGGTTCACGCTAAGTGGAGGACAAGTTTCAGTGTTGTCAGGTTGTGGCCGGCCGAGGGGCTGCTCCGTTTCGTGGCAACAAATTATTTCATTCGGCCCGCGGCAGCTTTTCTTTCTTTTTCCTCTCAATTATGCGGAATTTGAAGTCACATTAAAAAATGTACAACAACATAAAAACCACAACTGGTGGACGGGACTGAAGTATTCCATACATATACATATGAAGGAAGGGAGCCAGGGGTCATCCCTGTCAATTGGGTATCAAATACGAACGAGCATTTGCCCCAAAGACGACTCCTTTGGCCTCATTAAAACGTACACACACGCCCAAAGGGATGAAGGGTGGAGACAGAGAGAGCCAGAGCAGAGAGAGAAAGAGAGAAGGATGAAGCAAAGACTCCTCCGAGCAGTCAGTAATGTGTAATTTATTGGTCTGCTCAAATTGAAACTAAGCGCCATTAAAAAACAATAAACTAAACATGTAATAAATTCAGGCCAAACACAGAGCAAACATACAGCACCACACACAAACGTATTTATTTATATATGTGCATGTACATATGCATATGTATATGTGTGTATATATGGGTGGGGCTAAGGGGAAAAAAATGCACAAAATAAATTGACCAAATCTGTTGGATAAAAGGATTTGAAAGCAATTAATTGCCAGCGCATAGAAAACATCAGCACACAAAAACCCAAACAGGAGGTGGCGATGTAGGGGGATAGCAGGGAGGGAGCTTCCTTCAGTGCCAGCAGCAAACCTCAATAACTGGCAACAATAAAAGCAAAGCCATGGAGCACCCAAACTGCAGTTGCCAAATTACACAGAATCAACGAAAACGATTAAATCAATAGCCAAACGAAACGAAACGAACCCAAACTAAAAACGAAAAAGAAAAAGGGAAAACATACCGTTTAAACAATAAATTAATTGGTCAAAAACTAAACAATATATTGCCACTCATATATAATTAACAAATCCATTCATTTATGGGTCAGTGAAAATCAGAAGCACATTTGATGCCAGGATTATCTGTGACCTGTTCCTACCAGCAGGCAGCAGGCAGCAAGAGGTTAACACTCTCGAACATCAGAGAATGCTGCCCAATGCCCTACATGGCCAAGAAAATATTTAAATAAAGATTTCTGTGCATATATTTTTCAGCCATCTAGCAGGCTGGGCTTTAGCATTTATTGGGCTATCGACAGCTGTAGACTGGACAGTTCATACCACTGTCTCGAATAAATTGTTGTCACGTAAATAGAACAATTTTTAAGCACTAAAATAATTTGTATAATTTGTTGTTGCCATTTAGAAGAATTGGACAACGATGGCCAATCCGGAAGGATCATCTAGTGGCGGCCGCAGCCCGCCTGCAGCTGGACATGATGCCGACATTTGGGCCGCCTACCCCCCCTGGAATGCGACTTGCACATGCGACAACTGTACGCGCAGTGTGCCAGTGGCGGTGGGTCAACTTTTGTGTGTAACATTTGCCTGGGAACCGCAAGCGATGCCGTGGTCACCATTTGCGGCCACTTGTTCTGCTGGCCCTGCCTGACCCGGTGGCTGACGTCTGGTCCCAATCGCAAGATCTGCGCCGTCTGCAAGGCGGCCGTGGACAACAGCAAAATCATTCCAATTTATGGACGCAATAGCACACGTCCGGATGAGTATGCTCGCGATGGTCTTGCCCCACGCCCCACTGGCGGCATCCCCGCTCCACCACCACGCCCATCATCGCAGTTTGTTACAATTACATTTTGCAATGGCCTCAACGTGTCGCTCGGCTATGGAAACTTTCCATTCGGTCTTATACGAATTTCATTCAATTACGTGGAGCGGGAGCCGGAGCCGATCCGGATCAGGAATTGGATTCTCCTGGCATCAACGACCCAGTGCAAATCGGAGACGAACAGATACTGACCAATATGTTTCTGTGCCTGTGCATCCTGTCCATCGGCTGGCTGCTCTCCACCTGCTAACCACTACAACAGAAAGCAGCTCCACACAGCCACACAAGCTGCCCTCTCACACAGCGCCTGCGCCAAGAACTGAGCTACACTGAGGCTACGAACCCATTCGAAACATTCGAACTCACGTACATACAGTCCACAACACATCCAAATGCTCTCGAACCCACAGCGAACACTGTCAACTGTTATGCACCAGTGCAATGGATTACATGGGGTTGGTTTGGTTACAGCACACTCTCCGACAGATATTTGTTAAATTTCCACGTTAAATGTTGCTGGCTCTTAATTAATTTCTAAGTCAAATATATATGTATATGAAGTAATTCTGGGCTTAGATTCACTTTCTTCATTCAACGTAAGGGAACTGACTGAAGAGAGGCAAAATAAAAACCCAGCTATATGCAGGTCTACATTACATGGTTGCGTACACGTTCTCGATAGCTGCGTAGGTGCGCTCCACATCCTTCTGGAAGTTCGCTTTGTGGCCCTCGATTACATGCACGGAATATGCCGCTCTAATTAGGTCCAGCACCCAGCACTCAGAACAGTTCCTGGCGTTGTGGCACCCACGCAGCAAAAGTTGCGTGAACCATTCGAAGCCTTCGAACTCATCCCCCTCGACCAGCTTCCGAATCATCTCCCCAACCGGCTTGTCCCCGATGAATAAGCTCACAGGACTCCGTGTCTCCAGCTGCGTCAGCATGCGCAGGCTGAAGTGCCGCTCGATCCGTTCGTTGTAGTCGGCCCTTTTGGCAGGCAGCTTTTCGGTGTCCATGCCTTTGGCCATGCCGTTGAGTTCGTAGATCGCCTTTAGTTTCAGGGCCATTAGGTGCAGCTGTTGGTATATCATTGAGCTCATAGCTTCGGCGTCCTTGTCGGCGATGGGCACCAAGGGGTTAAACAGCTTCATCACTTCCTCGATGCTGGACAGCAGATGCAGGTCAGAGGTGTTCTCCAAACGGTACACGATGTTTTCCAGGTCGAGCATCGCACTGTGGCGGGGATCCCCATGCAACCAGGCACCCCCCCGATGGCGGAAGGGACCTAGGGCCGGGTTGCTCATCAAATGTTTTACCAATTTTTTGAATGTCTCCATAGCTGCGCGCTCCATTGAAATAACGTTCCAGAACGCGCTCCAGTTCGGGTCTGTCTTCGCGGGAATGCGGTGCCCAAGGACAACTGTACGTACGGGTCGCTCAACTTCCACATCGTCCCTAATATTCTGAAAGAAAAGCAAAATCCATGCAGCGCAGGCACATCAAAAGTCGCCACAGGCCCCATTCGGGCTGCTGAACAGGCAGAGCCGTCGATTCTTTTCACTTACGATGGGCTCTGTGCGCCCGCGCACTTGGAATGGTTTCATTTTTACGCAGTTTGCTTCTCTTCCTTTTGGTAAATGTGTTAATCCTTTTGCTACGTTTCGGCCCCAAGTAAAATATGCAAAGAGAAAGATGGCGTCTCCCAGATGACGTGGCGTCAGGTCAGCGCTGCATTGCGTGCAATCGATAGTATCGACAGTATCAATAGTGTACAAAATAGAACCAGTGTGTCCAATAATTGTCCAATAAGCACAAGAATATTCATATTTTCACCTTTGCGCTTTGCTTTGCATTTTCAACCTTTTTCATTTGCACGTTTTTGGGGATTTCTTCAGGTGCTGTTAGGCGCACACTTAAATGGGCTGCGCACGGCAAACAATTTTCAGGCGTGCAGGCGCACTGTTAAGCCGCTGCTCCGACCTTCCTGAGTAGTAGATGGATATATGTAATGTCAACATATCATGTACATATGTTGGATTATTATTTTCCTGGCTTGGACTCCGCTTAGCTTGGGGTGTGGGCAAGCTCTCAAACGCAACTTCTTTCCCGGCATTGCAAACCAGAGCTCTGAGAGAATTGTTGCTCGCTACGCAGTTTCCATTTGTCTGTATATCTGCCTCCCTCACACTCACTACAGCAGAGGAACACGCTCGACGTGAGGTCTCTCTCTCTCGCTCTGTTGATCCTCTCTGAGCGAGTTATTGCTCAGCGCACACACTACACTCGCTCTCGACACAGAAACAACTGCAACTCGACCAAGCAGATGAGTCATACGACAAAAAGAGCAGCACAAAGGAAACAGTGATAATACACTGAGAACAATCAGTTCGGGGGATGGAAAAGCAGCTGAAGCAGACCAAAAGTTCGACTAAAGTAAATATATTATCTATATATATAATTATGTATATGTGTTTGTTTTTGGTTTATTAAATATGCACTCAGTTCACTGAATAAAGCTTATTGGCTGCTCTCCAGTCAGTTCTTTTTTATAAATCGAAAATATTCTGAAAATTATCTAGGGCGAGGTTTTGGCGCTCCACGTTTCCCGTGTCCTGGGCTCAGCAATTGGTAAAGTAAATTGCCTGTCCATTAATCTAATTTCAATTTGGGCATACAAGTATTGGAACTCACCTTTAATGCTGTATAATTCCGATATATGCAGTTGCAGCATCTTCCCTGGCATTGCCTTTGCCATGGCCAGGGCCAGGACCAGGGCCAGAGCCAGGGCCAGGGCCATTGCCGTTGCCATTCCCATTGCCTTTTGTGGTTGACTGTTTGCCATTTGCTTTTATACGCACCGTTGCACATCGGCATTTGTGGGCCTTTGCTATGCCGCTGCTGCTTCTCCTGCTCCTGCTCCTGCTCCTGCTCCAGGCACTCCGCTGCTGTGTCTGCTATGTCTGATGCTGCTGCTGCTGCTTTCGCAGCTCTTGTGGTTTATTATAACTGCATATATCATGCAAATATCCACACAGACAGAGTCATGCGATGGGGCTGCAAAACCAGCAAAGCCCAGAGACCTAGCCCTAGCCCAGAGACCTAGCCCAGCCCATTCCAACCGAAAATCCCAACACAAACACAAAGCACAAACATTAACATGAGAGCGAAGATGGCCTTGTATCTCCAGTGGATGTGCTGCCATGGGGGGCTCTGTTGGGGCTGGGGGCTGTGGGCTCCTCAGATTGTGTATGTTTTTCGGGGGGGGGGGGCCCAGTAAGGGGACGGCAGTGACAGCTTCTTACACAAATTCGGGTTTTTCCTGGCTCTGGGCTCTGCTCGCTTGCAAGAATTATTTTATAAATTTTCATAGTTTTCACTTTGATTAAAAGTGCGGTCATGGCTTTTGTGGCATTGCATTTGTTGGCCAGCTCCATTACCTTATGCCAAAATGAATGCCACACTCGCATTCTGCACGCAGCAAAATCTTTTGCTAGTTTTAGTCATTTCCTCACTCAAAAAACGAAGACAATGAAATGAATTTAAATTTATCCATGGCATAAGATCCATTTAGATCTTCTAAAGTCTACCTTCAAGTGTGGGTCAGTGTAATACGCCACAAATAACACAAATATTCGTCTCGTAGCCCATTGCATTATTGGCATTAATTGCTTAGCCAGCACAAACCGCACAATCTGCTCCTAAATCGATAACTATGGTGTGGGTGTGTGTGTATTTCATTTTTGTTTCAATATTTGACAAATGCATTTATAATTGCAATGCCGCAGATAAAATCTGCACCAGCCCGTTCTACCCATCGTCAGGTTGGTTGGGTGGGTGATGGCTTGGCTTGGCTTGGCTTGGCTTGGTTTTGGTAGCAATTTGTAATTGGAAATTTATGGCATTTCCTTATTGTTTTTGTTGTTGTTGTCCTAACGAGCCAAAGTTTCCACCTGCCGGCTGCCATCTACCTCCTGCACCTGCCAGCTGCTGCCACCTACATGTACTGCTCGATGGATACCATGGATACCGTGTCAGTGGGTTGGTTCGCTGCGGATTATCGACAGCACGAATTGAGCGAGCAATTATTTCAATTGGAATGCGATTCGTGATCTCTGTGGCTCTCTCTCTGCCAACAAATTCTAACCACCTAAGCGGAGTTTGGGTCTTTTTATTTTCGCTTGCTTTTGTCATTTGCCAGCGAATGCCATTTAATTTCATTAATTAATTTGTTTTTCTCCTCCACACATACATACATACATAAGGGGGGGGTGGGGTAAGTGAACGACATGCGGCAGCTGCCGCAAAAACCCAAAAACAACAATTAAACATAAATCTTATAAATTTCCGTAGCCAAAACTTCCGTGCTGCCAAGGCTTTTTGTCTCTGCTATGCGGCAGTACCCCAGCCTCTCCTCCCTGCCCACTTCTTCTTATTCTTGCTGAGATTTCTCGCCGTGCCACAGAACATATTTCATTTCGGCTGCAACTTTTCAAACACGCCCACCACGCATGGACCCCGCCCACTGGCGGAGGGCATTCCCACCCCCCCAGCTCTCACTCTCTGGAAAAACTTTTTCCAGCAGCAGCAGCAGCAGCAGCAGCAGCAGCAGAAGCTGGCGACTCTACGCCAGCTAGCGCATTGTTTGTTGTCTAACAGTCTATGACTATTTAAGACAAGCGACCACACACACACACACACACACACACACTCATGTTTACACAACTTTTACATATAATTTAATTTTACTATTTTAGTTTCGACTGGCGCTGCAGCGCGCTGGTTTACCCATTTCCATTTCCATTTACCCATGCCCCTATTCCAGTTACGTCGTCGCTGTTTGGGGAAAAGTGCAACAAGGCTACGCACACACATCGAAGGACCACACAAAACATTTGTTACAATTTCCCACGTAAATACTTCCTGCCAAGAAGCGCACACACCCATAGATACACACACACACCCCCACACACACATATGCAAAAGCACAATTATAATTGTCATAACACAAAAGCAGCTGAAAATTTAGTGCCAAGTGCGAAAAGTTGCACGTGGCTGGTCCTTGATGCTGGCAGCCATAGAGCCAGAGAGCCAGGCGGATTCGTGCCACCAGTGAATGCTCCCATTCCACCACTTCCATTCTCCCATCTTCCCACTGCCCACTGCGAGGGCTGAGCGAAAAGTAACCAAAAAG